CCGTACCGTGACATTCATACCGAGGTATTACCGAACCGTGAAATTCTGATACCGTTACATCCCTAGAAGTAACTAATAACATAAATAAAAATAAATTACATAAATTAAACAAATAAAACAGACAATTCAACATAGAGGTCTTTACAATGATAATAATTTAACCTAACCAATTAACAGCAAGAGTACTAATCAATTAACTTAAGCTCCTTTGCCACAATAATTGTATTTATACATTTTTCGCTCTTAATATATTGGAGCGATTCTATATACAAATGAAAGTCTGCAATAGCAACCTTTAAACAAGGTTTAGAGTTATTAAACCTGCATTTATGAATATGAAATTTACCAAACAAAATTAAAAGATTCAATAAAAATTCCACAGATAAATAGTTTGAAACAAAATAAAAAATAACGTCTTTGGGGGTCAAATTGCAACTAAAACCTGATTTTTTTTTTACATATAATGATAGATCTTCCCAAAATTTTTTTGAATATTCACAGTCATAAAAAAGATGAATCAACATCTCTGGGTGATGTAAACAGAATGAACAGTTTCCATCCGTCTGCGTAAATTTAGTTAATGTTTGATTACAAACATAAATGTTATGTAAAATTTTTAAATGTAATTCCCTGTACTTGTTACCCAAGCAAAAACGAAAAGGAAGCATCCAAGCTTTTTTCCACACAATATCATGGAAATATACATTCCAAAAAAATTTTCCTCTAGGTTGTAATGCTCTATTTTTGAAAAATATTAATCTAATTACTTTGTTTGTACATTTTTTACTACAAAAGTCTACCCCATTTAAGTAAAGAGCAGGATCATTTCTATTAATATTGATACTATATGAAGACATATAACTTCTCATTAGCATTTACAAACCAGAGGGGATGGCTTTTGTTACATAGTTATATTCTTTAAATTTAATAGGGAACGACCATCTTTCCATAAAATTTTTGTAAGAAAGTAAATTAGCTGATTGGTCCAAAATATCAGATAAGAAAAAAATACCTTTATCTGTCCAATTTTGTAGGTAGAGAGATTTCCGATTAACAGTTATATAAGAATTATTCAACAAAATTGCTTTATGGGGTGAGAAATTGTGCACATAACACAACTTCCATGCTTTAAGAGCTTGTTGATAAAAATTGGACAATGTTACCGGTAGTTTCTTAACAGAATAATCACATGTTAGTAAAAAACGCAATCCTCCAACCTTTTTGAAAATATTATATGGTATAAAAAACCAAATTGAGTCTGCTTTCAATAAACAATTCCTAAGCCATTTAACTTTAAAAGTATAATTTAAGTAAAAAAAATCTAAAAGTTCAAATCCCCCATCTTTTCTTGGGCCTTGAAAAACTTCCTTTCTTAAATGATGATGTCTGTTTCTCCAAACAAATTGTATAAATAAATCATTAATTTTTTTACAAATAGCATCTTGAACAAAAAGGGATAAAGCCGGGTAAACAAAACACACACACACACACACACACACACACACACACACACACACACACAATTGGTTTAATAAACATTAATCATCTTTTAAAACTTATAAAACTTTTCGACAGTTACTATTCTATCATCTGAACAATTCATGTATATCTACAATTTCCCAATACTGTTTAGATAATATCATTTAGTTATTAAATCTATCCCTGTCAAAATTATTCAACTTGTTAAAAATCATATTTAATATTCTCTGTATGTTGTAAACCCAAAATTACATTTAGAATGTGTAGAATTAACTGATAAAAAGTAATAACAAGCACATTCATGATACTTTTCAGAAGCAAAATGAAAACCTAGAGGCTTTTTTTTGAAACTCTATTATAGTTAAAAAAAAGAGCCTGATTAACTCTCTTCAAATATTTTATTAGTTTTTCTCAGTCGTTTTGTCTCTCAAAACAATTAGTCGTCTGTGCACATCCTAGTAGCAGTTTCTCATTCCTTCCAACAAATTGCAAATGCTTTTGGACATGCATCAATTTCTTTCATACAACTCTCTGCTGTTTTATTATCAGTTGCTTATGTCATGTCAATCAAAATGAACTAAACTTGTGAATGCTGAATAGTCATTCCATATAAAACAATTAGTCCTCATATCATTACTTGAGTCATTACATACAAAAATGTTGAAGTAGTTGTCGAAATATGTCAAGCAAATTTTATTTAAAAATTTTAATATTGTTTTCTCCTGAAATGTTTTCTAAATTGAACAATTTCATAAATGGTTTACAGACCTGTGTATGTATAGGTTCAGTTCCAAGATGTACTGTAATATTGTTGACAGCTCTACCCAAAGGAAGTTTATGTTTGTTGTAAATAAGGGTGTATTTATTCTTTTGCACAATGTTGTGAATAAACTAGACTTGCAAAGAGCATATGCAGTAAAAATGTGACACATACATATTCAATGTCTTGTACTCAGATACCTCACTCAATGCAGTGATGTTTACCTTTTCTGTAGTTTTTTTTAAATGGCAGTGCAAATAGTATATAGTGCTGTCTTGAGCATTTTCAGGAAGAAATGAACAGAGTAAACTGTGATAATGAAAACATGATAAAATCATTTGAATATCTTGTTCATAAACAATGGTGTCAGGACTTTTCATCTTTATGACATTGACACTTTCATTGACAACAATACTTGCTTTTGAGGAACGAGCTATCCATTTTGAGCAAGTGACACGCTTTTGCGGGTTATCATCTAGGTTTTGCAGTTTGTACTAATTGTTATGAAAAATGCATTAACTATTGTGCAAATGTAAATAATGTTTGTCATTTCCCACATTAACAATTTTTTATATCGAGTTTGACTTCTTTATACTGTGAAATTGAAAAGCAAAAAATCTGAGATATGTATTGTTATAAGAGTTATTTTTGATTCCTCTGTTAAATCTTAAAATCATTGGATGTAGAAATGCTGTACTTTATGCTTTGTGGACTTTATTTTTATTAATTGTAGTTGTTTATTACCATTGTTATATTAGTTGTTTTTTTTACAGTCGACTTTCATATTGTGTTATTTTATGTATGTTCCTGATGATTTGTGTAACAAAAAATACAATAAAATAAATAATGATTTCATGTGAAATATCTGTACATGCTTTGTATATGTCACTGGATAAAAGATTCATAAAAATAAGATAGATAGACAGACAGACAGACAGACAGAAAGATAGATAGATAGATAGATAGATAGATAGATAGATAGATAGATAGATAGATAGATAGAAGATAGATAGATAGATAGATAGATAGATAGATAGATAGATAGATAGATAGATAGATAGATAGAAGATAGATAGATAGATAGATAGATAGATAGATAGAAGATAGATAGATAGATAGATAGATAGATAGATAGATAGATAGATAGATAGATAGATAGATAGATAGATAGATAGATACTGTACGAGTTTTCATGATTTGTTTTGTCTTTGTTTGCTGTTTTAGGGTTGCTCCAGTATTGACGAACGCCTGGAAACCCTGTCTACCACTAATCTTTACAGTCAACAGGCTTATCTGACCCACTGGGTGTAAGCAGGTCAAAAGCCAAGGCCAAGAATGATTGGACATTAACACCTGTGACCAAGAGATGGCGCTCATGTCTTGAAGATGCAGGTGCAAATGTATCGTCAATGAGATTTAGGTTAGACAACTGACCTCAAAAGAGCATACATTTGTGTACATTTGATCAAAATTATATAGAGTTTTAGTGTCTCACTAAATATCTTCTTATAGTTTTAGAGTTGAGCAATAATGACTGGATCTGCCGGTCAGTCAGTGGGCTGCGCACACGATAATCTGGAAGTGATTTCTTAATTTCAACACAGGTCTGCATGTTTTCATGATGGATGTCTTCATGGGAATATTAGCATCTGGTAGTGCGTGATAAATGCATATGCGTTTAATTACAGTGCTTGCAAGAAAGATATCACAGCTTACCGATAACTCAAAAAAGTAGCTGACCCTCAATATCTTAGGCCTGAATATGTACAGAATAAGCGCCTTTTTATTTTATTCCTTTGTAAATCAAGATTAAAACTTGTTAAAAACGGACATAATGCTTCGTTCTACTAAAAAAAGTCACTCAGCATCATAAAAGCTGATGCAAACAGTGAGCTGACACACGGGATGTTATCATCACAGAAGCCAGAAATCAGCAACTTTGGAAGTTCATTAGTGTGTTGAACATGATATGTGTGTCTGCACACATCTTAAACGTCTGCACATTTCTTAAGGTTAAAGAGAGGAGATGTGACATCATCTCCTCTGGCTCAGTCATCCATGAAACCCCCTCATTTATCAAGTTTAGATGGTAGAAATCCAGCGAAAACAGACTGGCATGATCCTATAAATGTATTAGACTGAGGAAAATGTTTTGAAGTAATTAAAACAAGACAATCATGATGCCTTGATAAAACGAACATCATAAAAAAGTCCAGGATTTCAAGTTTATTATACCCCAGGCGTGCAAACAGAAGCATTGAATGTAGAAAGGGAGTGAAAACATATGTGAATGGCTCAGGATGTTATGAAGAAATCAAATGTCATCATAGTGACTATTTATAAATAGGTCCAGTTTGAGTTAAAATTGACTGACAGCAAAGAGATGGATGATGACAATCATCATGTGACGTGAAATAATAAAAGATCTTTTAAATATTTCTACACAATCATGAAGAATTAAATTAAATATCTCTCAAACATATTGTGAAATGGCCATTGTAATACTGAAACCACAGTGATTGTCATTGCTTCAGGGGCAATGTCCCTATTAGGAATATTTCCCCTTCAAAGTGTTTTATGTTTTTTAAGAGGAAGAGGTCTTGAGAAATGTAGCATGAGTCACATAATGTGCTTGCACGAAATCATAGCCAAATTATCTCATTGTTTTCTGCACGGCGCATGTGCCAGTTTGCCTGAGGCCAAGCCCCCTTTCAGCCAATCACAGTCTCTCACTATAAAGCAGGAACATCAGCAAACACATGACAGCAAGTGCTTAGTAAGCCCAGTAGAGCTCTACACAGCAGCATCTGCAGGAAAACAGAAAGATCAGCTGTGTCTACTATAAGAAAGGTAAGCACTCTGCTTCTGCTTGGATTTTATTCTTTTATTTGCATATTTGCTTGTAAAGCAGTTTTTCAATAACTTGATTTATGCATATAGCATGTGGGAATATGAATGAATTAGAATTTCATTCCAATACATTTATCTCAGGCTGAGGTTTTAACAGCTACAAAGAACAATTTCGGATTTTTTAGAACCTTTTAGTGACACATACATTACTTTATTGACACTGATGGTTTTACTTTTAAGACTTTAAACAATATTTACTGAAAAGTGCTTTCGAAAACACAAAATGGTTCATCGATCTATTTGTTAAATGCCCATTTGTAATCTTAATTTGAAAATAATAAAATAAAACATAGCTTTTTTAGTATTTAAAGTATTTAAAGTACATTACAAATGACATTGGATCCAATGGAAATGTTTTGAGGATGCAAAAGGCTCTTCATGTCAAAAAACACTTTGTAGAAGACTTTGGGGTACTATCTTGAATTATATTAAAGAATAAAGATACAAAAATTCTTTTATACATGTCTTTATATAAAAGTTCTAATAATTTAAATTAATTATTGATTGCATGAAATAAAACTGATCAGCAGTAGATAATTGCTTTGTTTGTTTATTGTTGTTTGTTTATTTGTTTATTGTTTGTTTAATGTTTGTTGTTATGATATTCGGTTGTTGCTTGCAAAGTTTGGTTTCAATCTTTTCGTGGCAAGGCTTGTTTATTTTTTGTCCACTTTTTCAAGTTTATAATTGAAGTCAGAATTATTAGCCCCCCTTTTAATGTCTTTTTTTATATTTCCCAAATTATGTTTAACAGAGCAATGATTTTTTTACAGTATGTCTGATACATTTTTTTATTCTGGAGTCTTATTTGTTTTATTTTAGCCAGAATAAAAGTAGTTTTTAATTAAGAAAAAAAAAACATTTTAAGGTCAAAATTATTTGCCCCTTTCAGCTGTTTTGTTTTTCTCTGCCTAGTTATCCTAATTAACCTAGTTAAGCCTTTAAATGTCACTTTAAGCTGTATAGAAGTGTCTTGAAAAAATATCTAGTAAAATATTATGTCCTGTCATCATGGCAAAGATCAAAGAAATCAGTTATTAGAAATGAGTTATAAAACTATTATGTGTTGTAAAAATCTTCTCTCCATTAAACAGAAATAACAGAGGGCTAATAGTTCAGGGGGTTCAATAATTCTGACTTCAACTGTAAATGTCTTTGTGGTGAAAGAGCATGTCTAAGAGCATGTGCCTACACTTTTTTTAGAAATGTTTATTATGAATATTTAACTCACTTCTTCAAAATGTTTCTTAGGATCTCCAAAAAAGGAAAAAAAAAAAAACATTGGTTTGCCATCAAGATGAAGTGTATACTAGGGGGTTTTCTGCTCACATGTGTCCTGTGCTGGACTGAAGCAGTAAGTGGAAAAATAAGACAGAAGTGAAATTCTTTACTTCCTTTAAAAGATCATTCATTTATTCATTTTCCTTTAGCTTATTTCCCTTATTTACTAGCTCTTTAAATGGAGTTAACATTTACTCCCACAGATGTAATATTTACAATTCTTTTTTTAGATCATAGGAGAGATGGATGAAAGGTGGAAATCTTCTTCAACTTCTGTAAATGGTAAACCTCTTTTAATGCTGTTACTTTAAAGTTTTTCCCAAGTAAATATTATTTACAGAAAACATAACGTTGTATTTTAAGCGTTTTACCATATATAGGTTTAATCATGACTTTTCTCTTCTTAGGCAAGTGCATATTAGACAGAGATGAGAGCAAATACACAGGAAAAGTGTCAGTGACTGTCAGTGGACGGATTTGTGCACCATGGAATTCCATCCAAGGCTCACGATACTCTGCCTTCAAAAACTGTTATCATAACTACTGCAGGTATTAATATTCATACATTCATTCATTCATTTTCCTTTAGCTTAGTCCCTTTATTCATCAGGGTTTGCCACAGCGCTATGAACCGCCAACTTATGCAGCATATGTTTTACACAGCGGATGCCCTGCAGCTGCAACCCAGTACTGGCAAACATCCATACACACTCATTCATACACATACACTATGGACAATTTAGTCTGAGAATACCCACACAAACACGGGGAGCACATGCAACTTTACAGAAATGCCAACTGACCCAGCTGGGATTCTAACCAGCGACCTTCTTGCTGTAAGATAACAGTGCTAACCACTGCCCTATAATCATACATTTTGTTACTAATTTTTGTGTCAGAATTGCATACTGTGTATATTTGTTTTGAAACATACCATCAAAACCTTTAAAAAGTATGTTTATGATCTACAGATGAATTTTGAACTACATATGTTAACTAGACATCTCACTGGTTTTCTGAATATGCGAATTCAGACATAATACATGGCTAAGATACCATTATACACCTACTATGTTTAATGAATGTATGCGTATTCTGATGATGGGAGGGATGATTTTTGCTGACTCCTTTAATAAAAACTTGAATATTTTACTTTTTCAGGAATCCAGATGACTGGACTCAGCCATGGTGCGTTGTAAAGAAAAGAAACCGTTATGTACGTGAATACTGTAACATACCTCAGGAGGCAATAAAGCCAGGTAAGTAGTGCATCTTGTGATCATTTAAATCATATTGAGAGTACACTGACTAATATAACATATTAATGTTCATGCAGTCAAACGTCCACCAACACCCGAGCCAATAAAGCAGGACACAGGTAATATTCTCACTAGTTTACTCTTTTAATTCTTGTTCTTAACAAAATTTCAATGGCTATGCTACAAAACCCTCAAGTACAATAGATGTATGTGCTATTTCTTTCCATGAGTGCTGCTTAGACATTACTTCTTCTCACAGACTACATGTTTTTTGATGTTTCACGTGTATTATTTAGAATTAACGTGTGGGGAGCGCCGCTTGGACCGACAGACAAAGATAATAGGAGGATTAAGGTCAACTGTTGAGTCACAGCCTTGGATGGCAGCTATCTTTAAAGGAGATGGGTTCATTTGTGGAGGAACCCTCATCACTCCATGCTGGGTCCTCACTGCAGCCCACTGCTTCCCTACTGGGTATGTCAACTTGCCATTTACTGAAATGTTTTACCTTATTTTACATTCTGTGTAAGTCAGGTTTATTTTGCAAGAATACACCAGCTGACAGTACATTATCCTGTATACTACTCCTGAAATATTATCTCAAAATATAATAATTTTAAAAGGGATATTACACCCAAAAATAAAAATTGAAGCAAGTGATTTCATGCCTCTATGAGGTTCTTTCCTTTATTAAACATAAAATAATATTTTAAAGAAAGCTGAAATCCTGTAACTAGTGACTTCCATAGATGGAAAAACAAATACTATGGAGGTCAATGGTTATAAGTCATATATCAAAATCTTATTTTGAGTTTAAGAGAAGAAAGAAAGTCAAACAGCTTTGAAGCAAGTACATGGTGAATCAACACTGACACAATTTTTTGGTGAACTATTCCTTTATGTAGTCCACCTAGCATAAATACCTATATAATTCTCTAATCATAATTATCAATAACTGAGAAGTAAAATGATGCCAACTAATAGTGGACAGTAGTAGTACTAATAGTGGACATTAAAGTAGCAGCAATACTGAAAGAAATCAATAAATCAAGCTTTGTTAAAATTGAACTTGGAATACACACAAAAGCAAATATCCAAACACACAAACACAAAATGATGGACTGAGTGAGCTTTTGAGGGAGTTTTTTTAAAGCACTAAGTCTATCCTAATTTGATTGAATACAAATTAATGGTAAATAATAGATTTTTTAATTTTAATAAAATTAAAAAAAAAAAAAAAAAAAAAAAAAAATATATATATATATAATATATATATATATATATATGTTTCCATAATTCAGTTTATTTAGTAAAAAATCTACATTGAGTTTTATATCCGCTTAAGTGTGACGTTAAGCAAAGCGGCTTCCAAGTCCATATCAAACTGTATGGTGAAACTTAACGAATGGTAATAATAAATGTTTACACAGTGATGTAAGACTTTAGAAAATCATGATTGCAATATATACATATAAAACCATTCCTAATATCTGATGGCCAGAAAGTGATTCATTTTTATAAATTGTTAAAATATGGGTGTACTGTATGTGATGCAGAGACTGTTGTGTACACCACAATTGTATATAAAATTCACTTTAATGTTTGATATGACTAAAGATTGGTCAAATATTTTATCAAATCAAATGATTAGCAGCTTAGTCCTAGAAATAGTATTCCTTGCGTCATGACTTCATGGGTCATGGGCCTCAAAATGACTTTGAGGTCATTTTGCCAACACTTTGGAAACCAAAACAGGAGGGAGGAATCTTGCATGTAGATTGCAATGAGAGCTTAGGTAGATGACCCTAATTCTTCAGTTTGGGAATAGACCTTAAATCAAGAAGTTGGGTGAATTAGCAAATTTCAGACTACTGCATGCCATGGTCAAATTCTACTGTATTCCATACTGTATTCCAGAAAGGGATGGTGTTATAAAATGCTTCATGTAGTTATGTATAGTAAAGTGCTATAAAATTACTTAATTTGTTTGTTTCTTTATTTTGAACAGTAAAAGAACACAAATAAATAGATACTCTGTCGTCTTGGGAAAGAATGCCATCAATGAAACCGACCCAGTCAAAGAGCAGAAATTCACAGTGAGCAGACTTGTCATCCACGAGGACTTTGACTACTCAACTGAAAACTACACTCACGACATTGGTGTGTGCATTTTATATTTTTATTCTAACATTGTTATTCTACATAAATAAAATAAATAAATAACACTCTAAATCTTTTCCTTCAGCTCTGTTGAAGATAGAGGACTGCAATGGACAATGTGCAGTAAAGACAAAAACTGTAAGAACTGCGTGTCTTCCTCCTTTCCAGCAAATGCTTCCTGTTGGATTCTACTGTGAGATTGCTGGTTACGGAAGATATCAAAAGGGTAAGACGACATATGCTGTATGCTAAGATACTGTATCTCTTTACAATAACAAAGAGCACTTTCCTATGACAGCAAGATATGAGAGCAACACAGTGTGTTCACAGAGTTAATCTATGACATTAAATATAAGACAAATTGGGACATCCTTTGATTACGACAAAACATACTGTACTTAAGCTGCAAATATTCTGGTAGAGAATGTAGCCATTGTTTTGGCACTTTGGATGTCACTGTAGAATGTTGGGAGGATAATTATAAGATGATATAAAAGTAACAAATGTATTTTTTTCTGCATCTGTTTTTAAAGGTACCTTTAAGTTCTCTAGATATCTGAAGCAAACTGAAGTCAAGCTTATTTCCCAAAAAGTTTGCCAGAGAACGTATTACAATAAGGACGAGGTCAATGAAAACATGCTGTGCGCAAATGGTAGAGACTGGAAAACAGATGCTTGCCAGGTAAACCCAACAATGTTCTACTAACGAGAACATAAATAACACACTGTAAAAAAAATCTATAATATTACGGTTTATTTCCGGCAGCTGGGGTGCCGAAACAAAAAAAAGTAAAATAACATCTGTTACATTACAGAAATCTACTGTAAAATAACAGAGGTTGAATTACAGAAATTTACCAGAAATTTGAACTGAAGGAAATTTCTGTAATTTAGTGTCCATTATTTTACCGTAAATGTCTGTATTTTAAGAGTCATTATTTTACTTTTTCCAGCCCCAGCTGCTGAAAAAAGTACAACTACAGATTTTTTACTGTGCATTCATGAGAGAAAAATGACATTTGAATTAATATGTTGACAAGTTAGATAGACAAAGGTTGTTCACCCAAAAACGAAATGAAAAAAGAACAGTTCACCCAAAAATGAAAGTTTTGTCATCATTTACTCACCCCTGAACTGTTCCAAACCAGTTTTATTCATGTTTTGTTCTTTTGAACACAAAAGAAAATACTTTAAAGAATGTAGGAATATTCATTAACTTTTGGATGTTAGTGGTTACCGGGTTCAAAATTCTTCAAATTTTCTTCTTTTGTGTTCAATTGAAAAGAAAAAAACTTTGCAATTGGAAAGCAAGTCAAGGGTGAGTAAATGATGACAGAATTATTCATTTTTGGTTGAACTATCCCTTTAAAGAATTTATGCAAGCTTTTTTTTTGTCTTGGAATAAAAAACATTAAAATTGCGATCAAGTTATTTTAAAAAGACAGAATAATGTTAGAAATAAAGTCAGATCTGCAAGCTTATAAATTCACAGTTGCCGAAAAAGTTGGCATGCTAAGAACATTTCTAAGAATTTTGAGTTTATATTGGCTTTTTTATTTAAATTGCATCATTTTTATTTAAATCATCCTGGGTTAATATCAAGCACATTTACAGAATTGATAGAAATATAAGCAAGAATTAGGAGATTTAGCCAGAACTGCAAGAAAAAAAAAGAGTAAAAATGGTGAAATAAAATAAAAAATAGGCAGAAAAAAATTATAAGAAAAGTTATGATTTATTTACTTATTTAGTTAGTTATTTATTATATAGTGGAATTTAATGAATGTCTAAATGTATTTTGTCTTGTTTCAGGGTGACTCAGGAGGGCCCCTGGTGTGTGAAGTAAATAACATCATGTTCCTATTTGGCATCATAAGCTGGGGAAAAGAGTGTGCAGAAAAAAATCAGCCCGGTGTTTACACACAAGTCAGCAACTACAATCAGTGGATCTCACAGCACACTGGTTTGCCTAGATATACAGCAGGCTCCAGGTACCCACAAAAGGACTAACTATGACTGAACAAATGCTTAGTGACTCAGGGTAATGTTTCAGCCTGCACAGAATGCACGTGCCAATTATTTATCCCATTCGCATTATATATGGCAGCTACCTCTTCAATCAATAGGAATAATCTTTAACAGTGCTGTAATCGTATTCATATATCGGACAGTGTTACTAGTGGTGTATATGAAGGATATGTAGAATGAGTGTACGACCATGTTTATAGCAATAAGCATGTTATAAGTGCTCCACAAAGGTACATTTGTTCATTTGGCTGGGCATTATGTTTGTTTGTTTTATTAATTGTTTTTTTAATATAATATATTATTTAATATTTATATAATAATGTATGTAGGATGAATGTGTTTATTTTTTTAACACTTCTTATTCTAAATCTATGTTTTATATGAAAGTCTCCTTTCCAAGTTTATGGACTTGCAATGTATTATATTTGACATTAAACTTGCTTTAAGTCTCTTCATGTTTTTGTTCATTAATTTTGCATCATATTTTCTCTACATTACAAGCAACATGCATTTTCACTTATGCATTCAAGTTCTTATTAACCAATTGATTCATCTATTAGTCTAAGAGGAATTCAGACAATATTCATACAGTATATATTTATGGTCATGTCTGCCAATAAGATTGTTGTTCATGCAAAATATCAATTGTAAATTCACTATTTGTCAAATATTTTTGGACATATGCCTTTATGTGCACATGAACTTTAATGGCATCCAAATTTTGATGAGTAGGGCTTACCAATTAGTTATTTCCGAATGAGGAAATTTATTGAATAGACATATTGCATCATGGTTGAATTCACAGAGGTCCTACAAGCAACTCATTTTTTTCTACAATGTTTCTTGAAGCAGTCTGCATGTCTAGGTACTGGACTGTATACAGCATTCTGAGTATTAAAATATTAATTCTGTTATCATTTACAGTTAAGAACTTGAGAAAAATTAACATGATTTGTTTTAGAAATAGTGTAATATTAAGATTTTATTAAATGTAGTTGTAGCTTTACCATGCTCAAACAAGTGTTTAACAAAATGCCCTTGTAACTTTATAAAAAAAAATAATAATAAAATAAAAACTTTATGTTGTGGAAAATAATTAAATCATAAAAATGAGTGGGAAGTGGCTTTTCACAGTTCACTGGGTTTCTTTATTACCAAAGATTTTCCAGAGATTTTCAGTCAAGTTTAGTTAAGAACTCTGGGCTGGCCATTTTATTATTGTAATGTTTTCAGCTTCCAAAGGCTCACTGTCCTGTTTAAAAATTGCAATAATTAGAGGTTAGAACCCAAAAGATATACATCTAGTCTACCAGTTCAGTTCAGGCTTTCCACAGATTGACGATGAAAATAATGTTTCTCATCTGACCCAATACTAAGGGGTTACAGTCCAAAGTCCCTTAAACATTGAGAGACTGTCTGTCAAGATACAGATCTTTAGCCTATTCAGTTTCTCTTTATGTAGCTGAAAGGTTCATATCCGTGGCTTCATCAACCTGCTTTCAGGGGTTTGATTTACTTTAGAGCAATTCACCATCTAGCAATTATAAAATAAAATGATAAAGTTATGCTGCCACTGCCAGTTTGTCACTTAATTAAAGAAACTACCACTGGGTGCAGATTACTACCAATAAACCAGAGGTGTCTAAAAAGTGTTTTCAAAAATCTTCTTCATGGTTCTTTAATACTGTGTTTGGCGATGCAGTGGCGCAGTAGGTAGTGCTGTCGCCTCACAGCAAGAAGGTCGCTGGTTCGAACCTCAGCAGGGTCAGTTGGTGTTTCTATGTGGAGTTTGCATGTTCTCACTGCGTTCGCGTGGGTGCTCCGGTTTTTCCTCACAGTCCAAAGACATGCGGTACAGGTAAATTGGGTAGGCTTAATTGTCTCCAGTGAATAAGTGTGTATGGATGTTTCCCAGAGATTGGTTGCAGCTGGAAGGGCATCCACTGTGTGAAACATATGCTGGATAAGTTAGCGGTTCATTCTGCTGTGGTGACCCCAGACTAGTAAAGGGACTAAGTCGAAAAGAAAACGAATGAATGAATACTATACATATATACATATATACATATATACATATATATATATATATATATATATATATATATATATATATATATATATATATATACATACATACATACATACATACATACATACATACATACATATACATGTATATATATATATATATATATATATATATATATATATATATATATATATATATATATATATATATATATATATACATACATATATATACATACACACACACACACACACACACACACACACACACACACACAGTTAGTCATAATTATTAGCCCCCCCCCTTTTTTTTTTCTTCTTTTTTTTTCTTTTCTTTGCCTAATTCCCCTAACCTGCCTAGTTAACCTAATTAACCAAGTTAAGCCTTTAAATCTCACTTTAAGTTGTATAGAAGTGTCTTGAAAAATATCTGGTAAAATATTATTTACTGTCATCATGGCAAAAAAAAAAAAAAATCAAATAAATCAGTTACATTAAATTGAACTAAAATACACACACATACACACACACACACAGTTGAAGTTGAAGAAGGTTGTTCTATAATTTTGATCTTTACTGTACTCGTCTTCATGATGGTATAACACATGGTATATTTAAAGCTGTGTAAGACAAGATTATTGTTCTTCATATAACTAACTTCAAAAACACAGTCCCTTTATTATGGAAACATTCTTCAAATGTTCTTCAAACAATTCTTCTTTTGTGTACCAAAGTGGACATAAAGCTCTGTTTGAATTAATACGAGAAAGAGTGAATTATGACAATTTTCATCTTTAAACCCACCTTTTAAACAAACTGTCAAATTGAAACTGTTGAATATTTCTTATCAATATTATGACAAATTTTCCAGTACGGGTTGCGGCTGGAAGGGCATGCGCTGACTAAAACATATGCCGTACTAGTTGGCGGTTAATTCCACTGTGGCAACCCATGATAAATAAGGGACTATGCCTGAAGGAAAGTGAATGAATGAATGAATTATAAAAAGAATATCAGTGTATAATGGAAACAATAATGACTGCAACCTTGAATGCCCGTTTTCTTTAGAGCTTCTTGATGGAAATGGATGAATATTCTTTCAAAAAAAAAAAAAACGGAATTATAGCCAAAGATGAACGAATTTCAGCTAGATTAACCTGAACACAAAACTTGAAACAATAATGTTAAAACAAAAACTAGTATTAAACGTTTTAAAACTCAGAAAATCACATGCTTTTGTATGTGAAATAATTGTCATGATGCTATTATGATTTTGCAGAAGCATCCTTGAGAAACCACAAGTGTTTACATCAAAATCATAATAAAACGTGACTCCATGGGAGAGAAAATGTGGAAGTAATGAATCACCAAAGACTATATGTAGCCTCAGACGCAGAAACAATATCCTTCCTCTTACCAAGAATACATGATGCTCATGACAAAGAAATTACTTGACCTAAAAAGGAAAGTTTGGTTTACAGACAAATCATGAGCAATGAAGGCAAGGCAAGGCAAGGCAAGTTTATTTATATAGCACATTTCATACACAATGGCAATTCAAAGTGCTTTACATAAACAAGAATAAAAGAAACAAGTAAAATAAAAATAAAAACAAATAATAAAAATGCGTAAAAACAAAACAAAACATAAAAACAGGTAAAATGTGATATAAAAGAATGAAGAAGAAGAGAAAAACATGATAGTGCAATCTGTCGGACACAGCACAGTGCTCATTCAGTAAAGGCACAGCTAAACAGATGTGTTTTTAGTCTTGATTTGAATGTGCCTAATGTTGGAGTACATCTGATCATTTCTGGAAGCTGATTCCAGCAGCGAGGGGCATGGTGGCTGAAAGCTGATTCACCCTGCTTTGACTGAACCCTTGGAACTTCTAGTTAGGTTCTAGTTAGGTTTGTATTCAGAGAGCATATCTGTGATATATTTAGGTCCTAGGCCATTTAGTGATTTATAGACTAGTAATTATACTTTAAAATCTATTCTGAATGTAACTGGCAGCCAGTGTAAAGACCTGAGGACAGGTGTGATGTGCTCTGATTTTCTGGTTCTGGTTAGAATTCTGGCTGCAGCGTTCTGGATGAGCTGCAACTGTCTGACTGTCTTTTTAGGGAGGCCAGTGAGGAGTCCATTACAGTAATCCACCCTGCTGCTGATAAAAGCATGAACAAGTTTTTCTAAATCTTCACTAGAAACAAAGCATCTGATTCTTGCTATGTTTTTGAGATGATAGTATGCTGATTTACTGACTGCTTTGACATGACTGTTGAAACTCAGATCTGACTCAAGAGTCACACCAAGATTCTTGACCTTATTTTTTGTCGTTTGACCTTTAGTGCCAAGGTATGCATTTACCTTGAGAACCTCATCCCTGTTCCCAAACACAATCATTTCAGTTTTCTCTTTGTTTAACTGAAGAAAGTTTTGGCACATCCAATTGCTCATTTCATCAATGCATTGGCAGAGGGTGTCAATGGAGCTGTAGTCATTAGGCAGTAAGGCTAGGTAGATCTGAGTGTCATCAGCATAGCTGTGGTAGGAGATTTGGTTCTTTCTCATTATTTGGCTTAGAGGGAGCATGTAAAGGTTGAACAGCAGAGGTGCCAGAATCGAGCCTTGTGGGACTCCACACGTCATGGGTGTCCACCTCGACCTATGGTCACCTATACTGACATGGTAACCTCTACCTTCAAGGTAAGATCTAAACCATTTGAGGACCGTGCCAGACAGCCCAACCCAGTTTTCCAGCCTATCCAGAAGTATGCTGTGATCGACAGTGTCAAATGCAGCACTGAGATCCAACAATACCAGCACTGTTATTTTACCTGAATCTGTATTTAGGCGTATATCATTGATTATCTTTATAAGGGTGCTCTCTGTACTGTGATGTGCTCTGAAACCAGATTGAAAATTGTCTAAACACCCCCTGAAGTTTAAGAACTTGTTAACCTCGTTAAAAACAACTTTTTCAATGATTTTGCCAATGAAATATATTTAACAAATGCTATGTTAGCATACTGTTTCCAGAAGCAATGACACCTCCTCTATCTCCTTCAGTGGAGCATGCAGTTAAATGTGCCACTACGTACGTCTGTATTATTAAATATTAAAAGAAAAATGTATGCCTATTATCATGCCCCTTCTTGTTTCATTAACATTGCCATTGAATACGAAATATTCATTCCTTAATTTTCTTTTTGGCTTAGTACTTTTATTAATCAGGGGTCGCCACAGCTGAATGAACCGTCAACTTATCCAGTTATGTTTTATAAGCGAATGCATTTCAAGCTGCAACCCATCACTGGGAAACACCCTCTTGGCGAAATATATGCAACTATTTTTTGCCCTTTTTTCTTTATTCCACATTTTTGGTAATTTCAACTTAATAAAATATCACACAAATTCATTATCTTTGATGATATGATTTTATGATAATTTTAGAAAGCATTAAGACAGGGCTATTCAATTGGCGGCCCGCGGGCCGAACCCGGCCCCCGAGGCAGTTTGTTCCGGCCCTCGAAATAGTTTGACCAAGACATCAAAAATAAATTTAGTTTAGTCCAAAAACGGCCGCTGTAGTTATAAAGTGACGTGCGTCTGTTTAATACAGCGCGAGCTGCAGAGGCGCAGAGCTTGAGTCACCATATGTGAGTGGTGCGGACAGCTGAAAGCCTTTGGATGTTTTGTTGGAAATGCCTTTTGTACACTGCACTGTTGTGATACAATAATCATATAGAAATCAATGGGACCAAGAATGCATTGCACTGTAGTTTGATTTTAGCCACACGGGGCGTATCGTTAAGATTATCAGTCGTAAATTAATTAACTCTGAGCAAAAGTTTCGTTAGGAGATTGGAGCTATAATTGAGTAATGTTCCATTACTGTGTTACTTTACTCTGACAACATGATCTGACAACATGATGTCTTCACGCAACATTATTAACGACCTACAGGATCTGATGGATCGCTCTATTTTCGGTATTGTTCAATGTGTGCTTTGTA